ACTACGTTAGTCACGTACTTATTTATCAACATAGGTATCTCAACGAAGACCTACTTCCCCACGTTTCCCCTATACCCATCTTACCCCATACCCAATGCCCCGTGTTGCCCCAAAGGCTGAATTAGTAAAAAAAATATTTCTCAAAAGAAAAATAATAACTGAACATTTATCCAACTATACCACAACAAAGTATACAACCCTAATAACCATATACGAGTAAAGTCATAAATTGGTTAGTTATAATTACCTTACAGTAAAGACGTTTTTAACTGCGTAAAATAAGATCGAGAAGACACTCAACGTGATGTTCGTTTGTCAACAAAAAACGCGTGCACTCCCACTCGCTGTTTCTGTCGCACTGACGGTTGATCGAGTATGACTTCCTATTGGCTTATTCACAGAATAGATAAAAAGGTTAGAATGATAACGTACTAACATTAGTACTAGGACCGCGCGTGCCAGATATCACACAGACATAAAACTTCACCTATTCAGCTCACAAAGAGAGCGATGCTTCCATTGGCTACAAAAGTTTCAGCAAAATTAGTATATACTAGCCTATTAATACAGGTGATTTTACAGTAATGCACAAAATGTATGGCAAGCTATAATAAAAATTTGCACAATTACTTTTGTTAGTTCTAAATATTATATTTTGTGAGCGGATATTAAATAAGTTAATGTGTGTAAACATTTGAAGGTACGTGTTTCTTTACATAAAAATGTTATTGCACGACGTATCCGCATTAAAACAATTTTTCAAAATATAATGAAAAGAATTTTACGCTTCTGTCAACACTGAAATAGTAAAGTGCCCTGTGATTCACAATTTGATATCGATAATCAGAAAATCATTGATATATTGGGTTAATATAATAAAATAATTTATTAACTTATCATTTCGCATATTCACGAAAATAAAAACCAATGAAAATAAATACCATATGTATGTAATCACTTCACAATGATTGTAATCAACTTTCACTTGAAACGGCTCGATCAATCAGACCAATTCCTATCTTGCTAAAGTAGCAATGTAACTGCAATTTTTGTCAGTTTTAATCAGAAGTAGGCTCACATATCAACAGCAGGTGACAGTGATTATAATTTGGCCCTATTTGGGCTAGATTTTTATAATTAGAATTAGCCTTTTTTCTATTATATAGTCATAGTTTTATTTTTTGATACCTAGCAAATTTTTTTTTGTATATTTAATGATCCATATTTTTTTTACTAACTAGGTATTATATGAAGCACAATATATTAAGAATGGAAAATAATAACAAAGATGTCTCATTGAAACTATATTTCAATAATATCCCAATATAACATTTAATTTGACAATATAATCAGAAAATTAGATGCAATACATAATATTTCGTTATAAATTTGTAAGTAATTTATCATATTATTTAATATTAATGAAATCATTTGCAGAAAAATATGTTGAACAAATGTAACTAGTTTTAGAAGGAAACCATTGACCATTTCTATCACGCGTCAACAATATTTGACACTTTAAAATAGAGTATTACTTGTATCATGATAATTGCAGTAAGACTTAGATATAGAGATCGATAAAATCAACAGAATAAGATATGTCGACGGGTATAGAATAAGATATGACGAAGGGGCTATTACGAAGCCCAAATAGATGGTCCATTTCGGAGGACTATCACTATTAAAATAACACTGCAGGCGTGTATACCAACGTGCATTTGTTCCATTTTATCACTTTTCATACGAAAATATAACGAGATGAGCGTGATATCGGATGTCTTTACTCCTCGGCGATCGGAAACAGAATGTGTGCAAAAATGGCGGCAATTTGGTTTTTGTTAACTAACTGTCAAAGTCAGTGTCACCATTCTAATAAAATTAAAAGTATCGATGATCATGCTCTCTCTACAATCGAGTAATTAAGTAATCAAGTGCTAGCAATTAAAATAAAAGAAACTAAATCAAACGATCTTCGTAAAGATGATACGACAGATATAATATTCAATAAAAGTATTTCTTTGATTACTTAAGTTTTTCGATACAGTGACCGATACTTATTTCTCCTGATTCAAACTCTCCAACAGTGGCTGTAATCATAGAATTCATTCTGATAGTTTCAAGTTTTTTTCTTTAAATAGGACCGTCCATCATAACCCGCCGACAAAAGTCACTCATAACTCTTTTGATTGCGACCTGAAACTGTAATATATTTGGTTTTCGTTTTAACTTTTTGGCAATTCCATAATTCCATGCCTCTACAGAGTTATTGGTGCGATGATGTTCCTTATAACAGTTGAATGGGTTTGAATATTCTGAATTTTCGTCGATCCACGTTTTAATAAAATAATCGTTAAATGCTGTTGCATCTTCAGAGCTTAAGCATTCCGCCATAATATATAACCAAGCATCTGATTGAGCGTCAATCAGTAAAAGCGGTAATGTACAACATCTCTTCACGTGATCTTTACTCAATTTCGACTTTGTTAAGCGCAACGTTTCTGCCTTTCGCCACATACATCTTTTATAATGTGCATTTTTTTTAATGACCTTATTTATTTATTTTAAAAATAATTATAACTTTACTTAGGACATAACAGGAACTTTTTTCAATAAACTTTTTGGCATCCAAAATTAATACATTAAAGTTGAACAATCAGTTTTTTGGCTTTATATGACTCGTAAAACCATATAAAATAAGAAAAACATGAAATAATTAATTTTTCTTTGTCCCAAGTGACACAAAAATCAACTTTGTGTTCACCACATATTGCTACATTGCAGTTAGCACTCATACTTTTGGTCATGCGCTTTTTCTTGTAATGGCACTTCCCACAGGTTTTTCTTTTACGTGTTGATGTTGATGGCTCTTGTTCGCTTTCGTGGCTATGAAGAGAACTTGACTGGCTTTCATTACTAAGTGGATGGTTAGTGGATGTTTGCATTGAAAGTACGCTCTTGATTTTCGCCTTTACATGGGTTGGCATCGTGATTTTTGCTAATCTCACTTTTAGCCAGGGTTCTACAAGCTGTAAATGTAGTTTCTTCATTAACTTTCTGCGTGAGATTGGTTTTTGCCCTGCTGTCAACAAATTGTGGCCTTGATCACGTAACTATTAATTGATGCAATGTTGACCATTCCGTAAAAGACACACATTGGCCATCTACTGGTTTTACGGCTACTCGACATATTGGCGCACATCTGATCAAAAAGATCGACACCGCCTTTAGTTGAATTATAAAACTTGATCATATGTGGCTTTTTGGAGACCGTATTGATGGTACTGTTATAATATAATTTCTATTAGTTCTTATTAAAATGAAAAACGCAACATAGACGTTTCCTCTTCATCACAGGACGACAACAAATAAATTACCTTCGATAGTTTTGGTTTGAACGAGCAAAGTAAGTGGGCCGTCGTAGCAAAATAATGACCTGCTAAAGGGTCTTGTTCCGCTGTTTTTCAGTTCCTCTGGAATCTCTCTTTTGTTGCCTCGAAGTGTACCCTCTATCGTCAATAGGCTTGTGTCATAAAATGTAATTAGGGGTTCATTCTTTCCTTACTTACATAATACACCGAAATAACTAATTTTTTCTTCAAAAATCTATCGGTAATATTAATAATTATTGATTTTAAAATATCCATTTGAATTTGACATTTGAACACGCTGAACTGTCATGGCGTCTTGGATGACGTCATAGAGTTCACATCAAAACATACTGGGCTTGGCAATTTATACTTTTCATTGATTGATTTATTAAAGAAATGAATACCACATTTTATAAGTATTGCGTAGTGCCTAAGTGTAAAAGCACAAGTGTAATCACACCAAATAAATTATTTGTGAGAGTTCTAAACAATGAACAAATACGAAGAAAGTGGTTAAAACTTGCACGGAGGGATGATGCCCATAGTTTGTCTTCAAATTCAAGAATGTATTTTTGTGAAGATCATTATGATGTAAGTATTTAAAATAATGATGTATTTTCAGTACCTTTTGAGTATTATACAGGAATATTTTTTTTCCAGTGCAAAAATTTTTTTTGGTGGTTCAGTATCAGTAATAGAACACTTTTCCATAATTAGTTAAAAAAATTTTTTTAAATATTTTTAATAAAACTTCAATGAAAATATCTTCTCTTGCGTAGCCCGGTAGCCCCCCGCCACAGCCCCCACCGCCCCGCCGGGACCGAGCGACGCGCGCGACGGTGAGACTCACACGCACGCGCCGATGTGACGTGTCCTCGCGTTCCCGCGCACGCGACGCGCCCGCCGTCGTGAGTTTTATGAGATGTACGAGTTTATCTTCTGAGTGGTGAGAACCTACATAAGCGCATTTCGGAGAAAGCATGCGACGAAGAGCATACCTCGTATGCGGGCCTTTGGGATCCGTAACCTCGCGGTCCCTAATGCTTCGAACCATTTTAACAGACGAAGTCCCAGAGTCAGTTCCCACGATGCGGCATATCTCTTTGGTGTGAGCCAGCCTGCGGTATTGAAGCTGCTAAAAACAGCCGGACTCCATCCGTACCACTTTCAGCCGGTTCAGCAGTTCCATGACCTAGACCCAGTACCACGTCGAGCCTTATGTGAGTCGCTTCTACATCACCGCGATGCAAACATCTTGTAGACGGATGAGGCATTGTTCACAAGTGAGGGACTGTTTCTTCTGGGAAGAAGTCAAACGATGAGATGTAGAGGAGGCACAAAGTCTAGAAGACTTAACAATAAAAAATAATAACGCTTTCAGTGAAGTGAAAAGTGACACTAGTGTTTTAAACAAATTAAATGACAATTTAATGAAATGTGCACGTTTATGTCTGGACAGACGTGGACTTCATTTTGAACAAATATTAAAATACATGGTAAGTAATTAGCTAATAAGTTAGGTATTTGTTTTGATTCAACATTATTGTAAATACGTAGTTGATTCTAATTTTTTTAAATACGCCTTAACGCAGAAGTACCTATGTAACTTCGGCATAACGTTAATATTTTTTTCTAGGTAATGAATTTGTTTTTCTTTTATTTTTTTTGTATTTTGATGGCCTTAACCATAAAAGTATGAAGGGAAAATTGGAATTAATCTTAGAAATCACCTCAGATCATGGCATAAAATCTAGTTCGAATCTAACAAAATGAGCGTTCAGTGACCCGTGTAGATAGGTACCTACGAGTAGCGCTCAGCTGACGCACGGCGCGCGGTGTCCATAAATTAAGTTTTAAAATCTTGATCTTTGATAAGCGATAACTTTATTTTTTAGTATTAGAACATATCAAAATAAAAAATACGTGTTTATTTAAATTACTTAAAGTTTATTTTCACAAAATCTTCGCAGTGGTTTTAAATTATTCCTGTATAATGATGAAGAACATAAACAAATAATGCATACTTTGTTTACTGAATTATTTGAGTTTAATTGGGTTCTAACTTATTTAGTTTTATGTTGTATTTTGTTATTGAATACATATTTATTAAATTTTTTAGATGCCAAATGATATGATGAACTATATAGAATACCAATTCATGGGGAAAGTATCGAAAATTCGCATGAAATCAGGTTGCATTCCAAAGAAATTTGAGTGCCAAGAAGACAGAAGAAAACGTACAAGCAGCAGCACAGACCGGCCAGACATTTTGAAGAAACAAAGATTGATGACCATTGCTGAGTGTCTGAAAGAATATGATGAAAGTTGTATACCAAGTTCAGCTAAAGATACTTCTGATATCACTTCAAGTATGTATCTAACATATGTAAGTAATACAAAGAACAAGTTGTATCACTTTAATAATTTTTAATTTATTTTCAGATTTCCAGTTGACCAAAGAAAATGTGCAAGAAAACATAAGTAAAACAGCAGATAAGTCAGTACAAGCATTAGTAGTAACATACAAAATCAGAAGCAAGGCTGTGCAAGCTCAAGTCAAATTCAAAGATCAGGCATTGTCACCATTGAAACCATCATTAGTATCAAGTTTCACTTCTCCATTTAAAGTAAATACTATTAAGAAGTCAAGAACTTCCAAGGCGGGAAAAGTAACAAAAAATATATTTACTGAGGGTAACCACTCGGACAGTGATATTTCTCTGTACACACCAGCCACCAGAAGTCATTCACCTTCAGTGCACTCATTACAAATTATATCATCATCAGACTGTAGTGAATTACTTAAAGAAGATAAAAAATGGTTAGCTATAGAGACTCTATTAAACACACTAAGAAAAATTGAGAAGAAGCCTCGGTTGTACATTGGTGTTTCAAACATTTGTTATTACTTGATAGACATAATTAAAGACAGTATAAATTATACCACAACATCATCTATTGTTATGTTTGCATAAAATAAGGCTGGATAGTACATTTAATCAACTAGCAGATGATTATGGAATGACTCCATCATATTTGAGTAAGATATTTATTAAAAATATACCTTTGATAGCCAGTGTTATGCAACCTTTTATCGTTAATCTAGACAGTGAAATGACTAAATGAACCTTACCTTTTGCATTTAGACACAATTATCACAATGTGAGTTGTATTATTGACTGCCTTGAAATTGAGGTGCAGAAACCATCCAAGGCAGTATAAATCAAGCCCTAACCAGATTATAAAAAGGCCAATACAATTGAATATTTAGTATCCTGCACACCAAATGGATTAATAAATTACATTTCCCCTGGATTTGGGGGCCGAATAACAGACACCTTTTTGGTGTAATCAAGTGATTTTCTAAAGACAATAAAGCCTTGTATGTGTGTATTGGCAGATAGAGGTTTCAAACATGTGGAGCAATATCTCTGTAAGTCAGGAGTAACATTAGTAAGACCTCCAAGTGTTGAAAGTGGATTTAAAATAAGTAAAAATGAAGCAAGGTTAACTAAACAGATAGCTAGCTTAAGAATCCATATAGAGCATATCATTCGTCGACTACGAGAATTTTGTATGCTAAAGCCACTTGCTTGTATGAATTTTAACTTTATTAAAATGCTTGATGATATAATAATTATAGCATGTGCTTTAGTTAATTTGCAAAACTCTTTAATAAAATAAAACAAATAAATGCTTTAAAAGCTTTTTATTAAGCAGATTACAGACCTCCCAATATCTAATCTTATATTTTATATATTTAATCTTATATTACGCTCTTGTATAATAATGGATATATATTACGTTTCCAGAAGGGCACTAATTTCTCGCAGATAATTTTTTCCATATATTCATGATTGATTTGCACACTTATAATTTCCACTTTTTTATTTATAGCAAAGTCAGGATCAGCTACACAAAAGAAAGCATCTTTCTTCCCAGTCAAATACATTTGTAATTGTATTTGGATATTACATTTTTCTGTAGGCTGGCCATTCTTAATATAATTGACATAAATTTTACAACTAATAGGACTGGTAATTTCTATTATGCTATCCTCACATATCCCATATGGAGAACCAGCAATCGTTGAATATTTAGAACTCAATACCAGGCCACACTTCTTAATTTTCTTGCCCAGCATTTTTTCCACAGTCATTCTCACTTGGTCTTCTAGCACATAACCACGTTTCATATGTTTTGTTTCTGGAACTCTCACCTAATATTAATCATACAAGTGTGCCATCAGAGTCTTTACTACGGATTTCAAAAGCTCTTGATGCAGTTAGCCGACCATATCTTAATTCAAACCAAAGATTACTCTTTGATTGGCCACTTGTCACTTCCATAAATTTCTCTATTAAAACTGGTGTTATAATAACTTTACTTAAAAATGTGTCCACACACTTCTCTTTAAATTTTAAGACCAGCTGGTGCATTGAGAGTTGCTCTGTATCACTTGGAGAATAAAAGGATTGATATTTTAAAAGCTCGCAATCCTCTTTCCTCTTCCTTCCTTCTTCTAAAAACTTAGACTAAACTGAGTTATGTGCAGGCAACAAGAGACTGCCCTTTGACAATTCTTTGGCTGTAATTGACTTCAAAGAACTTCCATCTCTTGACAGCTTGGATTTTTTCCAGTAGCACTCCGTTGATGTGCACGATGGTTCCTCGCTGCGACAGTGAACCCAAAATAAAAAAGCGATTTCATGTTCGCAACCACCTTTTGACGCAATACAGTCATCACATTTTAACGAGACAATCACGTCATTGTCTTCGTCAATAATTAATGTGCATCCATAGAGCTTTGCGTAAATTTTGTGTTCTGGGCATATTTTACACTTCACAGTACACAATTTGGCGTCACGTTTAAACTGCACGTAGCTTATAGCATCGTCTCCGTATGAAGCTCGAGAAGATCTGAAAATAAATGCAACTGTTTAGCTATTGAATACTTCACATAACATATAACCTAAAAACCAGTGAAAATCAAAGTTGTTATGTTCACAAATATAATCTGTTTATAAAAGAAATTGAATTTATTTCATATAATATTTATTTCAAAATGGTTTACATTTGTTTTTACTTACATAAACGTCTATGTAACATTGCGAAATTCCGAAGAGTAAAAATCACTGTTTGTTGCGAAAAATGATCCGAGCATAACAGCATCAATTTTCGGTAGATATGTAGAGTTTGCTTTACTAAATCCGGACTCCATCGCTAATTATTTTAAGCTCTAAGAATAATAGATAAAACTGATCAATTAGATGCTTCCAATGCAAAAAATAGGAAAGTTACTAGAGCACTTGTGTTTACTATGAAAACGTCAACAACAACAATGGCGAGTGCACTCTATGACGTCACGCTCTCTGATTGGTGTTCATTGTCACGTGAGAAGATGTTTATTTTTTTGTTTTAATTCCTTAAAAATATCATTAATCTTTAATAAATATAAAAAATAATTAACTTTGGTGACTTCTTAAAATAACAATAAAACTTGTTACTATTCTTTTTTGTAATTGCAAGGGTTTAAATAATAAAAAACCAGAATTATCGTACACAATTTATTGGTTATTATGTAATTATCAGTTATAGGAGATGGGCCGACTAACCCAGACAGTTTGTGCTCGGATAATGGTAGACAAACATAAATAATAAAATACCAAAATACTCGTATTTGCTAAGTTCACCCATTGTGAATATTTCAGGTCTGTCAGGTTGTTTCTGGTCCAGAAACTTTTTGTTATGGAAGCATGTATGCTTTTTGTTTCAAGAATTGAATTATCGCCTTTCTCTAATGTCTGTATTTTTGTGTGAATGGTGTGCATAATTGAGTGTATAAGGTATAGGTATGCTTCCGAGAGAGGATTTTCGAAAAACTGTTTAATTAAAACAGGTGGCCTTTCTATGCTTTCAAAATAATTAAGTAAAGGACGATAGAGCTTCAGAATTCGCTCGATAGCTGGAAACAGGCTTAGCCAACGCGTTTTGGAATGATACAGAAGCTGTTTATATTCGACCTCAGCCGTTTCGCAGAATTCTTTAAGAGCTTCAGTTCGTACTGTGTAAGTGGAAAAAAAATTATAAATTTTTAAGATGATGGATTCTATGTCTACTGCCAGTAAATCACATCCGTGGTGCACTGCGTTGTTAATGACATGTGCAGAGCAACCCACACCAACCAAGTTTGGGTTTAGATTTTCCTTCAGCTTGTGGAAAACATTATTTGTTCCATATCTTTCTATCCCACCGAAGTTTGTATTACAATTATCTCCACTAAAAGCAATACATTTAAACAAGAGATCATGCCAGCGAAGCTGTGTTATTGTCAGTTCAGTAATAGTGTCAGATGTCTCGTTTTTAGTGTTTTCAATTTCAAGTACCTTAGTAGTGATTCCATGTTTTTTTACATGAAAATACTGAATAACCAGCGGGAATAATTTTGTGCTTTCGTGATTACTAGCATCAGTAGCAACACTAATGAATGGTACATCTTGTAAATCAGTCTTAAATTGTTCAACCGACAAAGGGCTTAGCACTCCGGTGGCGATCGCAGTTGCTTTTGTTCGATTGCACGTAACTTTTTTTGCAGTATCTGACGCCGAAAATATTTCGCGGTTGAGAGCACAAGTACAGTCCAATGAATTAAAAGACATGATGGCTTACTGTATGATAGACGAGAGCGCCTTCCGCTGCTGAAGTAAGGTCCTCCGATGTCGATCTCACAAAATATGTTGCAATATTCGAAGCACTTGATTGATTTTTTAAATTAGTTTTGTGTTTCAGCGTACTTAAATGCTTATTTAGGTCGGTAACGCCTTTGTTTGCGATTGAAATACACGTAGAACAAACGACACAAAACGCTTCCCAGTCATATCTTCCTTTGTTAAACATCGGGAACTTACTTTCCAAATCACTGTTAAATAGGCATTTACGCTTAGGCATTTTGGTGTCTAATCTGAAAAGAATAAAATAAATACCTAAATATATAGTCAGTAGAGAATTTCGAAAGAAAGGGGTAAAATTAGAACTATAACAATTACTAGCCACCCACGACTTTGTTAGTAAAATAGCATATTTGAAAATCTGTAGAAAGAAAAGAAAATTCTCAGCAAATAAAAATTAACCTTTCCAAAAAGCAAAATAATACTGCATCTTGACTTAATATTTATTATATTTTTGGATGAAAAGTAGCTTAAGTATCTACACTGGACCGCAAAGAAAACGGGTCGGTTAGAAAATCGTCAATATCTTGAAAACTACTTAACTTATTTTTATGAAATAAAAACTAGATTAAAGATTATTTAATTGTAATTTATTGAATATAAAAAAATACAAATTAAAAGTTGTCTATTTTCAATAAATGTCAAACGAATGAAAAAGGTAGTTTTTCTGACATTTTCGTAAATATGAATTGTATAAAGATGTGACGTTTTTACGCATGTTAGTATTTCATGTTGCCTCCACGAGCTTGCAAAACTGCGGCTATGCGATTCGGCATACCTTCCACAAGGTTTATAAGGCGATGCTGCGGAATGTTCTGCCATTCCTCGATCAAAGCTCCTTTCAATTCACGCAGCGTGATTGGCGGCGGATTCCGTTGACGTACACGTCGTCCCAGTTCGTCCCATGCATGTTCGATGGGGTTTAAGTCGGGGCTTCGTGCTGGCCACTCCATGCATGTGATACCTACTTCGTGAAAATAGTCGAACACTATCTGAGCTGTATGCGGGCGGGCGTTGTCTTGCATAAAAACAGCATTTTCGCCCATATCTACTAAAAATGGACCAACATAGTCATTAAGAATTTCATTCACATATCGTTCTGCTGTTAAACTGCCATTTTCTATCACTACTAGCTCAGTACGGCTTTCGAAAGAAATCCCAGCCCACACGTGTATAGAGCCACCGCCATATGGTACTTTTTCTTCTATACAAGCTTGGTTATAGCGCTCTCCCGGTCTTCGGTACACTCTTTTCCTCCCATCGTGCTTGTATAAACAGAATCTAGACTCGTCTGAAAACATAACTCTTGACCAGTCATCCAGAGTCCAAGTTTCGTTTTTCTGCTATAACTCAGCCTTGAGTTTAAGTGGTGTCTTTCTAATTTTGGGCCATTTGCAGGCCTTAATGGTCTCAAATTTGCTTCAGCCAGACGTCGCCTTACTGTATCTGTACTCAGATAGTTTCCTCCAGCTCGTAAATGGTGATTTTTTACCTCAACGACCGTAAGAAATCGATTTCTCAAAATTGTTGACACCATATAGCGATCCTCCCGCGCAGTCGTGCACCTCGTTCGGCCTGTTCCTGGTCTTCTTAGGTTGGATCCCGTTTCATGGAAACGCTGGAGTACCCGCTGAACTGTGGAAAGACTCACACCAACAGTTCTCGCTGTATTGCGCTGACTGCGCCCATCTTCAAGCATTGTCAGGATCCTGGTGCATTCTTCAGGGGTTAACGACATGATGACTTTAGAATACAATTTTTGTATGACAAACACACGATATTTATAGTTTTTATGTCAAAACTAAAACAAATGCGAAACAAATGCTTTGATTTTTTTAGAACTAAATTGAAAAACAACCATTATCTTCATTGCCAGTTTTCTTACACAATTATCTAAAGTAAATAAAAAGGTTTTATATACTATGTTAAATAACATTAAATATTCTTTAATTGAGTTTTTATTTCATAAAGCTAGGTGAGGTAGTTTTCAAGTTATTGAAGATTTTCTAACCGACCCGTTTTATTTGCAGTCCAGTGTATCTATAATCATAATTTATGCAATTAGCCTAATCTGTTCGTGTAAAAAGGTTACAAAAACAGATAGACTTATTTTCATATTTATAATCGAAATGTGGATAGCATTCAGAAGAGCAGTATCGCACTACCTGTAAAGATTAATCTACGGTATTTAAGAAAAATATTCTTTGCTTACCACATGTACGTGGTAAGTTCACCCGCTTAACTGGAACGACGCAATGTCTACTTTCGTCAAACTGTCGCTGCGGAGTGCGGGATGCGGGTCGCGAATACGAACGAACGAACGGCGGACCGTGGCAACCGCGACGGGAGGAGTGGGGGAACGGTGAATATACTTGGTTCGTCAGTTGATCGCGGTGTGCGAGCATAGTGCGGGTCTCGCGGGTGGCCCAAATTTTTTTATTTATTAATTTTTTTAAACCCGGTCTATAAATGAAACCTTCCCCGGACGCTCCCCGGATGCCCTCTAAACTAGGACAAATCCGGGGAAACCCGGACTGATGGCAACCCTAATTTCTGGACAGCATAGCGTGCTGATTCAGTAACAATGTTTTCCATAAACGGATTCGTGAAAAAGTAGGAAAAAATCTGATTCGAGCTTTCCTTCATAGATAAAGGTAACTCTTCAGACCCACCAAATTTGTTGTTATTGTCATCAAATAGAAAAGACTGTTTTCTCCACAGTAAATTCCTCAAATTCATGAGAGATTCAGTCGGTCGTGCTTCCACTCGCTCCAATGGCTGTGCGCCTCGCAAAGGTGCTCATCCTGAATCAATGGAGGGTCCAAAAAATCTTCTGAATTGTCCTGTCCCGTAAGAACGTCTTCATCGTCCTCTAATTCAGCTGCTAAGCTCCTAGAGATTGGTAATATCTTCTCCATCTGACTCTAAATCATCTTCCGAAATATCACCATTCTCCAACCTCCTAAGCATATCCTCTATTTGTTGCTCTGAAAAGCAAAAATATGCATTCAGCTATATCTTAACAACGTAAACATATAGTTTAGTGTATCTAAAAGCAAGCAAAATCTGAATTGAATTGGGTTTAGGCGAGAATCAAATGCATGCTGTATCGTTTTGGATACAAACATAAAATGGGATATTTGCTCACGTAAACGCATTAAAGTATCAATATCGATATAAGGTGCATTTAAGGGTTTAACCGGTAAGTTTATATGTAACACGTGTACAAGATATTAACAGTAGTTTTCAAATTTTCTTTAACGGACTTTTTGCATACCTTTACCTTTTCCTTGACAACTATTTTATTATTTTTAGTAACCCATTTGTCATAAGTAATGTAGTTATCTTTAATAAAGGTATTTAATTTAATTCTTCATTTTGACAGGTCATACATGTTTGTTCTAAACATTTTAGATTCATTGAGTTCTGACAACAAATGAATTATGCTAAATTAGAGGCAGTTCCAAAAGATATTACTTTTGCTTTCTGTAAAGCTCTAACGAGTATTTCTTGATGGTGCTTTCGGAAAAAGCACACAAAAAGGGCGATATCTTCTAAAAGTTGGGTATATGAAGCACAGTTTTATTTTTGAATACTGTGTGCAAGTTAACTAGTGTATCGTTTAGTAAACGTATTTGCTTTTTTATTTTCTTGCAGGTTATCGTTTCGTTTTTACCCGTAGTCAGGCGACAATAGAGTCTTGCATTAGAAATTCATTTCTATTTTCACTTCCTTTCGAATTTGTTCCGTCTGCCACTTGTTTTCTTTGTTTCGCTTTTAGTCTTTTTATACGCATTCTTTATTTTTTTTATTTGGTATGTAACCTATAAAAAATTCCCAAGTAAGTAACCTATAACAAATTCCCTTAAAGTATAAAACGTATAAAATGTGCGATCTTACTCAATTTATCACTAATAGTTGAGCAAATCAAAAGTCCAGTTTCTAGCACGTAGGTCAGGTATTAACAGGTGTCAGAGAATCAAGTCCAATGAGAATGCAGTGGTTA